TCACTGGACTTTTCCACCTGCTCACCTGCAGCCTTTTCACTCTGGAGATGCCTCCAGCCCTAGGCACCCCCTTTCCCTCTCCTCTGATGATCCTTGATTTCTTGCCTGAGATCAACCATTTCATGAAGTGCTCAGGCCATCCATGCTCCTTTCTCTCCTGACTTGACTCCCAGTTCCTGGCATGAGCTACTGCCTATTGTAGGTCCTAATTAAATGTTTGTGGAATTGAATGTTGAATAACAATAATGGTAATTTCTGTTATATGTAATCTGGAAATTTATCCCAAGAACAAAGACCCATCATTTTAAACACTAGTGTTTTTGGGATGATGATCTATGATTGTGAGTTATGGAACGTCACAGTCCTCAAAGAACTGAAACCTAATGGGATAGAAAGGCACAGGCATATATGTGAGTTGGCTCCAGTATCTTATAAATGAGGAATTATGCAGGAAGGCTCTGTCATGGATGTCATTAGAGGAATGCCAAGACTGGAGAAAAAGATAAACCTATAAGGTAGCCATATCCCCAAGAACTCAATGTCTTCATCATCTATTTTCTTCTTTAACATGGCAATTAGATAAGGGGAGAATCAAGGTTATTTCTGTTTATTGATCTAAACTTTTTAGTATAGAAACAATCAATATATCCCCAAATCATTCAAGTTATATAACTCTTTCTAGACCAGGGTTGGGGACCCTCTTTAGTTCTGAATAATGGAGTTATCCATGGGCAAACCAAAGGCAAAGAACCAGAAAGGAGATGAGAGACAGAGTGAGAAGAGAGTTGTATAATACGGCAGAGGAGTAGAAGGCCCAAAACAATTGTCTCAATATCATCTCATAGGATAGTTTGACAGTTAGGTATCTCTTAGCAACTTGATCCAATAAGCAGGCTTCTAAGTTCTTGGTTAAGGAATCATTTTTTGAGTTATTTGAATGTCATTTGTTGTGTGATGGAGTTCCCTGTTATCAGGCAGTCAAGGCAGTTGCTTGTCTGATTTTTAATTATCCATTTTGTAGTTAAGTCACTGGGAAAGAGTGGGTAATGGGTAATGAAATGTAATGGTTAGAATGTTTATGATGCATTGCAGTTTAATAAGTGGAAGCAAGGGAACAAATTTTGAGGGAGCATCAAGACTAGTGGAAGTAGTAGATATTGTGTTTTTTTTTAATCTTAAGGAAAATTTTTGGTGAATATTTAATATTTATGTGTAGGAGATATTTTCTTTGAGTTTTATGCTTGTACATATGATGCTGGTTGCTATTGTTGAAGATAATGATGATCATTGTAATATCTACCCTCTCTCTGACTTTTTAATTCTCTCCTCTGTAAAATGGGCATAGTTTCCATTCCCTATCTTTCAAGATTGTTCAGAGGAAAATCCTTTATATAAATCTTAAAGTGTTTTATAAATGAGATTATGAATTATAAATTTATGATATATACTCTTCTATTTAATTTTGATCATTTTTGCTGCCTTCGCAAAGGTTCCTGCTTTGAAAGAACTTAACTTTTCAATCAGATGTGAAGACTTATTTGCACAATAAAATCTTTATATCACTAGAAGGGCAAAGAGGGACAACTTTGGAGTTAGTAAGACCTCCATTGGTTCAACTCCTGCCCCTGATACCTAGCTATGTAACCATGGGTAAATGACTTAGTTATATGGTATTCCATGCCCCATGAGGCAAAACTCAACATTAGTTGTGTGTTTTTTTTTAAATTGATGCCTTTTGTTTTTAATATCACAGTCCTTTCTAAATAATTTTTCCAGCTCCTAACCCCAGCAAGCCTTCTCTTGTGTGAACTATTTAAAAATGAAAAAAAAAAACAGTTCAACAAAAGCAACAAGGATTGAGTCTGACTGTATATGCAATATTTCAGTCATAGTTTCCTATGAAGTGCATTTTCTTAAATCTTATCTGAAGTCATAATGCAGTTTTTTTATTCCTTCTCTTTTTATTCATATTATTTTAGCTTTCTAGTTCTGTTTATTTAATTCTTTATCAGTTGTGAACTGTTAGTTACAGTTTTTAGTTGCTGGTTGGCATCGATGGTGGGAATTTCCACGCTACCAGCTCCCTGTGTCAATAAAATCATTGATCCAGACCCCTAAAAATGAAGTCACCAAAATCTCCACCTAGACACTCCACCCTTAGGCCTTCTTACTAGTCACTTTATTGTACTGTAAAATGAGAGACTTATTACTTTTGGGACAGAGTGTCATGGTGGCTGTAGACAGTTATTTGGCTTATTGAACTTTGGAAGGGCTTCACACTTGAGAGAGAGAAAAAAAATGTAAATAGGGCATAAGAATCAGCCACCACAGACCTTTTCTCCGCACCCATTGTAGTCATCTGTTTTTTTGTCCTGTGACTTTCCAGTAGCTTTTAGAGTAGCTACGGAAGTGTTGCTTTATTGAGCCTACTACTCTTGTCTTGTTGAAAGAAGACTGATGCTGTAAGCCAGGTAAGCTGTATTGAATTGGGTAGAGTTTGGAGAGATGGGAGAAGGAAGAGGGGTTTTTTTTTTAATTCATACTCTTTCAAAGAAGTATACAGAATCAGAAATACCTTTACTCCTATATTATTTAATATGGTGATTTTGATAATGATAGTGATAGCAGCTGACATTTATAATGTTTTACATACTATCTCATCTGATCCTTATAACAACCCTGTGAGGTAGGTGTGATTATTATCCTCATCTTGCCTTTAAGAAAATTCAGAGGATTTTCAGAGAAGTGACATGGTCATGAGCACATTGCTCTATGTAGGTTAGGTTCTTAGAAAATGTGTAATTAGCAAATAGATTGAAGCCAATAAGATCTGAGTACTGAAGCATCAGCTCTGCCATATGTCATCTGTATGACTTTGAGTAAGCATTAGTTAGATGAGAGGACTGAACTAGGTAATAATAGCTTATGAGCAACCACAGGTTGAACAAATATAATTGTCCTCATTTTACAGTTGAGGAAACTGAGTAATTTGCCCAGGGTCACATAGACTCACAGGTTTAGAGCTAGAACTGAGTCCAACTCTCCTCATTTTACACACGAGAAAACAGGCTGAGAGTAGTAACTTGCTCAGGATCACATAGCCACTATGTGTTTAAGGCATAAACTTTTTGGTCTTAGGACCTCTTCACACTCTTAAGTTATTGAGGACCCCAAATAACTTTTACATATGTGGGTTACATTTATCTATATTTACCATATTAGAAATTAAAACTGAGAATGTTAAATAATCTCAATTTTTCAATATTGAAATATTTACTAATCCATTAAAAATAATACTAAACCAATTATATATTAGCAAAATAACATTCTAATGAAAAGTAATTATATTTATATTTTTCAAAACAATAAAAAGTTGGAAAAGTGGCATTGTTTTATGTGCTTTTTGTAAATCTCTTTAATGTCTGACTTAATAGAACACAGCCAGATTCTCATATCTGCTTCTGTGTTCAGTTTTTTTTTGTTTGTTTTTGTTGAAGTGTATAAAAAGAATCTGGCCTCATGTAAATATACAGTTGGAAAACAGTATTTTAATAAACCAATGATATCTCAGCTTTTAGTTAGTTTTGACCTTGATGGCCCCCTGAAAGGAGCATCCAAGGACCACATTTTGAGAACTGATGGTCTCTAAGGCAAGATTCAAACTTGGATCTTCTGACTTCTAGATCAGTGTTCTCCATGATGTCGGCCTGATGTCACTGAGCTGCCTCATGGTTAGCAAGTTCTAGTGCCTATAATAGATGATTCTTAAGGTTGTGTTTCTCTCTAGCTTTCTGTGATTTAAATATTTGAGGAATATTTGGTCTATCTCTGGTATATTGTTGGAATTAATAGAAAGCACATAAGACAGGATTATCCCTTCTAACTAGGGAGGCAAGACTAATACCATGACACAAGACAGTGAACAACAGGGATGGAGATTAGACCTAAGATTTTACAGTTGCAGGGAACCCCTTTGGTGAGGAGCTTCCTCTATCAAATTTCTCTAGAGCACTAAGAGTTTAATTGACTGTCCAGGGTCACACAGCCAATATGTATCAGGCAGCCCTTGAACCTAGTAGATGTTACTAGAGCTCTATCTCTCATGCACACTGCCTTTATTCACCATGGCAACAATATGACAGTCCGTGCTAAACTTTGCACTATAAAGTATAAGTACTAAAGGAGTTCAAAGGAGGGGTTGTGGTGGTGGTAGATGGAGGATAATGTAAAAGTTACCATGGATGAGGTAGATGATGTATTTAAGATCTGTGGGCAAAGTGAGAAACAGAAAATATCACCTTGCTGGGAATGTTCTCCCTCATCTCTGTTTCCTGTCATTCCTGCCTTTCTTCAAGTCCCAGATAAAATCCCACTTTCTACAAAAACCCTTTCCCCATCTTAATGCTAATGCCTTCTCTCTGTTTATCATCTTCAATTCATCTTGTATAGATCTTGTTTGTACATAATTGTTTGCAGGTTGTCTCCCCAATAAAATGTGAGCTCATTGAGAGTAGAGACTGTCTTTTGGCTTCCTTTGTGCCCCCAGTGCTTAGCATAGTGCTAGACATAGAGTAGACACTTAATAAATGTTTGTTGACTGACTATAGACAGGGTTCTAGCTAGCACAGATGAACAAAATCCAGAGATAAATCAAGGAACTTCTGCTTAGAAGTTTTATTTTCTGCATGCTTTGTTTCCATTATATAGCTGAAGATCACACTAGCTCTTTCTACCTGCTGTATCATTTTGTTGAATCATTGAGTTTTCGGTCCATTAAAACCTTCAGGTCTTTCCCACCTGAACTTTTTTCTAGACTGCCATTGTGCCTGTGCAGTAGAAGTCATTTGAATGCAAGTGGAGGACTGTATATTTATCTCTATTAAACTACAGTTTATTTCTACAAATAAAACAAACCAAAAAAACTTTACCATTCCTCAAAGCCCTTTAGTGAACTTAGCTCTAAATAGTCAGAATGATTGATGAACCCACCTTGTCTGCAGGTGCTAAAATGCAGTGAGTGACCAAAGAGATAGAAGAGGATGCATAATTAACACAGCTGACCGATCCAGAAACAGAGCATGTCCACAGCACCTGAAGGACAGAGTTTGTTGTATATTAAACAAGTCTCTCTATTTAGTCACTGCTAAGAGCTCAGGTATGTATGAAATAAGTATATATGTTACAGAGTTTGCTAGTGTTTTAGCCTTGGTGGGGGAGAGAAGAAAAGGGGATGAGACTGAAACTAAAAAGTAAATTAAAATATTTACATACTTAAACATCATTATAATCTTGAAATAAATTCACATGGTCAACCCTGTTACTTACCAGAAAGAACTGTGAATATTTCATTTTCTTTATATTGTGAGTCCCTGTTTCCTGTGCTCCTTGGGGTTAATTTAGCATCTTACCAGAATTAAAAATATTGTCCTTTAGATATAGTTATTTTTGCCAGTTTCATCTAATGTAAGTGTGAAATTATTCAGAAAAGGAAAAGAAAATAGTGTCTCATATTCACAGTTCATCTGGACACCTCTGCAGCAGGTTTGAAATTGACTTCTTTTGATTGGATGAACATAAATTTCATTAATGTAAAAGTTGTAGAAGACATTTGGCTTTTTTTCATTGTAAGCAGCCCATAAGTTAAAAAAAATAGCTTTAGTTAATCCAGATGTTCTGTAACTGGTGATATGACCTCTAGACACATCATGAATTTAGGGGTAGTTCCTTAGAAGAGATCATATAATTGCAGAAATTGTCAAAATGTCTTTTTAAGTGCCACCTAGATAAATGAGAACGAGCCAGATGGTAGATGTGTATTTGTTTTTAGTTAGTTTAAATAGGTTTGCCCAAATACCTACAGTTTTGATCTCTGGTTACAATAAACCAATTTGGAGCCTAGGTTCCATGTTTCCTTGTTATGACATGTAGTATGATTGGTTTCAAAGGAATACATTATTGTGAGCACATTATGAAAAAGAATAGAGTAACATAATTATAACCAACTCTGGTAAGAGCTCTCACTGCATTTGACAAAGGATACAGCTTTTGTTGCTGAAGTGTTTCTGTAATTAAATCATAAATGACACTCAACATTAACCTTACTTGGGGGGGGGGTGACCTTTACTATTTAAGTCCATAAAATAGTGAATGAATCATAGTCAGCCTCCTTATCAAGAAATAAAAATAGAAAAGAACAATTGACATCATCTGTAGCAAGTTTTTAGGGAACTGAAAATTCAAGTCTGTTTTAAGGAACAGATAACATTTAAAGTAATGAGACCTCATGTGTAAATTATTAACTTCAGCAAATGGACCTTTGATGAAAGGGGAAAAGGACTTGTCATAATCCAAGGCTAGTTCAAAAAGTGGACTTATGAAGTTAATCCACAGTGACTAATGAATACCATAGTAATTTGCTGGGAGCACCAGATTCTCATAGATATTTGTGGAAACACTGTAAAAATTCATTGGGTAGAACTCATTGTGACTTGATGTATCCTTAGCTAATGTTGGTCATTTCTCCAAGTTGCATGGTCCTCAGGTAAATTTCAATACTGGTGCTTTTCCTTTATTTCTGAAATGTTAATACATTTTGTTAACAGAAAATACTCTTTACAGAAACTTCAAGTTGACAAATCTCTGTGGCATTAACAGGTTTTCTTTTTTAAAATTCTTGATTCTTAAAAAAATACAATAAAAACAGTCATTTCCCAATAATCCTTTCCCCAACAGAACACTTCTTTGAAACAATGAGCTACATAAGCAAAACAGAAGCATTAACCATATCTAACAGTGTATATATATCATTCCACATCTGTAGTCTTTACACTCTAAGGAAGGAGGTATATTTCAGTGCCAGTCCTATGGAGTTAAGACTCATAATTGCATTTATTTGAATTCAGTGAATTTCAATGTTGTTTTTCTTTTTAAAAAATTTTTTTCTTTTGTTTGGTTATTTTGTACTTGACAAACAGCAATTAAAATGAACAAAGTACAGTATTTAATGAACAGAGAAAGATGATTGAATATGAAACCATGAGCCTATTACAAACAGCTTTCCTTATTTAAAAAAAAAAAAGGCATGTAATAAAATCATGCTAGGTTTAAAGCTGGCCTGCTTGTCCATATTTTTGACCAAATTTCCTTTTGTTTAGACATCATTCTAGCCATTTCAAGAAATGCCTCAAGAAACCTTTCTTTTTTTTTGTATCATTATCACATGCCCTCTTCCCCCAATCTCCTTCAAATTAAAAGAAAAAAATCTCCCCATGTGACAGACAAACATAGTCAAGCAAAACAAATCCACATGTTGGCCATGTCTAGAAATACATATCCCATTTTGTATCTCAATACCATTTGTCCTTGAGCTTTTTTTTTTTTTTAGGCAATTGGGGTTAAGTGACTTACCCAGGGTCACACAGCTAGTAAGTGTGAAGTGTTTGGTCTGAGGCCGGATTTGAACTCGGGTACTCCTGACTTCAGGGCCAGTGCTCTATCTACTGCACCACTTAGCTGCCCCTGTCCTTGCGGTATTATCATCATTGTGTATATTGTTATCTTGGTTCTGTTTTGTATTCAACCAATTCATAAAAAATCTTTTAGAGTATCTTTGATTCTATGTATCCCCAGACATATCACAATACCTTAATAGTATATGTTTGCTGATTGATACAAATTTTGTATCATGTGTAACACAGTACAAAATTATTGTATCATGTGTAATACACATTGTTTAATTAGCCTTATATACTGGGGGGAAAAAAACCACATATCCATTAGGCAAGAGTGATGTGTGAGCATCTTGGTACTACTTTTCTTAACAACCTCTTTTCTAGGACACCAAAACATAGAAGAGAGGAGGAAGGAAGAAGAGGAAGGCTAAAAGCAACACACTTGAGTGATTAGAAGTTACTCATTAGTAGCAGGCTTCTTAGGGAGAAAAAAAGTCACCCCAGTTCTTCTCTTCACTCAAACCCAGTGTGTCACTTATTATTATTATTACCTGCAATGACTGGATTAAGCACCCTATCTTCATCAGTCCTATTCATACTAAGCCTGTTAGTCACACTGCTTTGTCAGAGATCATTTAACATCCATATAGGTAACCTTTTAGGTTACCAGCCCACTAAACTTTCACCAGCTTCCTGTATTTTTTTTTTATCACACTTACTCACCTGTGCCTAGTAAGAAATGCAAGATCCCTAAACTCAGCATGCTTTTTTCATTTGCATTAGGTGTCTTTCTTGGCCATAATCTGACCTCTCTTTAACTGATCTAATTTCTTCTTCTCCTCTTTATATTTGTATAGTATTTCTAACTTTGTGAAGCTCTTACAAATCTGTTATCTTATTCTGCACTCATTATGACTTTGTGAGATAGTGTGGGTACCTGGTGTTTTTATTCTCATTTTGATAGATGATTAAATTGAGTCCTACAGGTTTAAGTGATTTCTTAAGGGTCACATGGTTGATGGCAAAGCCAGCAGTAGAATTCTACTCTTCTGATTCCTAATCTAGTGCTCACTGGCACTATAATTGGCATTTTTCTTACCTTGGAAAAGCCTCACAAAGCATTCCTGGGGCAAACAGAATGAAAAATGCCCTCAAACTTTTAAAGACAAATTCAGTTGGAAGGAGATAGAAATTCTCTCCCATTGAGTGTGGCATCTGTTTGTAGGGGGTAGGAAGCTAATGCCTTCTGGTACCCTAGCTTCCTATTTTAACTAATTATTCTCAATAACTAGGTTCTAGTTGATACTACAATATGACATGAGTGTAGATGTTGGCAACTTCTAAATTCCAGCACTTTGGAACAGAGACCCTATTTGCCCCTGTTGATCTGTCCTAGTTACATCTTTGCCATTAACCTTTTTATAATACCATGACACCTTCCTGTAGCTGCTGTTAATTTGAGGATTCATTATACAAGGTGCAAAATCCTTTTACTTCCTGCATCAAGTCTGGTTCATTATCAGTATTCAATAGATGATATTGGATACATTTGCACAATCATGAAAGTCCAAGGGTGGAATAACTTGAAATGAAAAAACAAAACAGTTTGGATAGGTAAACAAAGTATTTATTGAGCACTGTGCATTATGCTACAGGCTGGGATATAAATACAACTAAACAAGACTAGAGAGTTCTCCCTCTGCTTTCTTGCTTCCTTCCAGACTCAGCTCAAATCCCCCCTTCTGCAAGAGGCCTTTCCTGGTGTCATCGTCCCACTCAGTCCTGCTAATGCCTTACATTTGCAATCTATGTATTTTGTATGTACATAATTACTTACATTTTGTGTCCCCCCCTCCCCCCATTAGTATGTAATTCTGCTTGAAGACAGGGATCATGATTTTAGCACTTAGAAGAGTGGTATCTGGCACGTAGTCATAAATTAGTAAATGCTCCTTGATGATAATGAAGACAGCCCTAAAGAAGCTTACATTCTGGCTGGGGCTGGGGGGGGATGGGGAGAAAGGGAAGATGCTAGTAGTAGCATGTCTTAGGAACTGGAATGAAGCAGCATAAAGCTGACCTATCAGAATTGAAGGAGTCCAGGTTTACCTGAGAGGGTGATAGTCTGAGTCAAGGCAACATGTCTGGAGAGGACAAGAAGTGGTATAAGATTTACTCATGCACGAAACTGGCTCCATACATACAGTACTCAAATATTAGAACTTAGAGGTTCCTTAGTGATTATTCAGTCAATGACATTCATTTTAGAGATGGAAAAAACTGAAGCCCAGAGAAGCTCAATGACTTGTCCCAAGTATACAGAATGAATTAATACTAGATCTTGGACTGGAAACCTGGTCTTCTCTTAGTATTGTGTTCTTTCCACAGCACAATGTTGCCTCATGCCAAAGTGCAAATTGCTGTAGTTTCTTCTCAGCATTCAGTATTTTCTCCTTTTCCTACTGGTTCAGAGGTCCCTGATTTCTATACTTTCCATAGGTGGCCTGCTTTTGAATGGTTCCCTTTAAAGTTTCACTCAGTATTCAGCAAACATTAACCAGATGGGTAGGGTGCTAATACTAATAATACTGACATCAGCTTTGTCTCACAAAACCCAAGTTCACTTTTTATGAACCATAAAGGTCTGAAGAACACAGCTTAGAAAATTCTGCTGTAGACTTTGGGAAAACATTTTAATGATGTT